GTGGCTCATGCCTATAATCCCAGCACTTTGGGAAGCTAAGGTGGGAGGATTACTTGAGGCCAGGAGTTCAGGACCAGCCTGATAAGGGTCCAGACTCTGTCTCAATGGAAAACAAAAAATTCAAAAATTAATCAGGTGCAGTGGCACCTAGTTGTCTCTAGTCCCAGCTACTCGGGAGGCTGAGGCAGGAGGATCACATGAGCTAGGAGACTGAGGCTGCAGTGAGCCATGACTGTATCACTACATTCCATCCCTAACCAAGATGCATGATTACGTTTCTACAGTCTAAGGTAGGGATGTCCAACCTGTGGCCTACAAGGCTGCACACTGATTTTGTAAGGAGTTTTTTTTTTAAATTTATTTGTGGTGTCAGATATCATGAAAAGTACTCACAGACCTTTCTTTTGCTCATCAGCTTTCCTTAGTGTTTCTTGTACTTAATGGGTGGCCCAAGACAACTCTTATTCTTCCAATGTGGGTAAGGAAAGAAAAGGTTGGACAGCCCTGTATCTAAGGAGTGCTGTGGTGGAAGTTTGAGACATGTTGTTTTGTAACAATAAAGTGCAAGTTCACGTATTGGTAAATGGCAAGTGGAGATCTTTTGGATGAGGGGGTCCTCTCCAGAAGTTCTCATGTTACCTATGTAGACAGCTAAGGCAGAGCGTGTCCAAGACCTTCCTTTCCTTCCTTCCTTCCTTTTTTTTTTTTTTTTTTTGAGACAGAGCCTCAAGCTATCACCCTGGGTAGAGTGCCATAGCACCACAGCTCATAGCAACCTCCAACTCCTGGGCTCAAGAGATTCTCCTGCCTCCGCCTCCCAAGTAGCTAGGACTACAGACACCCTCCACAACGCCTGCCTATTTTTTGGTTGCAGCCATCATTGTTGTTTGGTGGGCCCAGGTTGGATTTGAACCCGCCAGCTGAGGTGTATGTGGCTGGCACCTTAGCCACAGGTGCCGAGCCTTTTTTTTTTTCTTTCCTTTCCCTCTCTCTCTTTCTTTCTTTTGAGGCAGAGTCTCACTGCGCCATCCTTGGAAAAGTGCTGTGGCATTATAGCTCACAGCAACCTCACATTCTTAGGCTCAGGTGATACTCTTGCCTCAGCTTCCAAGTAACTGGGACTACAGGCAACTGCCACAACTCCCAGCTATTTTTGGACATGTGGGTTTCACTATGGCTCAGGCTGGTCTTGAACTCCTGAGCTCAGGCAGTCTACCCACCTCTGCCTCCCAGAGTGCTAGGATTATAGGTGTGAACCACCACACCCGGCCTGTCCAAGAGCTTTCTAATGATCCCTCATAGAATTATACAGAAAGAGGACACATGCAGGCCTTGGGTCGATAGACTTGGTTGGGTCCTGGCTCTCCCATTTACTATGTTTATGACCCTGTAACTTATTTTACCTTTTTGAGCTTTCACCTGTAGAATGGAGATCCTTCACAAGATAGTGGAGAGGAGTCTAAGGAATCATAAGGGAAAGTGTTCTGCACAGGGTAAGAACTTAGTACTAATGTGTTAACAAGTTTCATGAATATATGAAGAGCTTGGACAAATCAAAATAAAACAGTCAAAAACTAGTGAAAAGTGGTCAAAGGGCATTGAGATTTTATAATAAAGGAGGTGTTTTGGCTGAGCATGGTGGCTCACACCTGTGATCCTAGCAGCCTTGGAAGCTCAGGAAGGAGGATTGTTTGAGCCCAAGATTTGGAGTTTGCTGTGAGCTATGTCTACCCATGGTGACAAAGTGAGATTCTGTCTCCAAAATGAATAAATAAATAAAGCAAAGGAAACACAAATAACTTTTAGTTATTTATTTATTTTTTGGGGACAGAGTCTCACTATGTCACCCTTGGTACAGTGCCATGATGTCACAGCTCACAGCAACCTCAAACTCTTGGGCTTAAGCAAATCTCTTACCTCAGCCTCCCAAGTAGCTGGAATTACAGGCACCCACTACAATGCCCGGCTATTTTGTTATTGTTATTTAGCTGGCTCAGGCCGGGTTCAAACCTGTCATCCTCAGTGTATGTGGCGGGTGCCGAAACCACTATGTTATGGGTGCCGAGCCCACAAATAACTTTTAAATAATGAAAGGTGCAACTTTATGCATGAGGGAAATGAGAACACAACTCAAAGGAGATACCGTTTTCCACCTACTGGATAGGTGAAGATTTTAAAATTTGGTAACATACTCTATTGGTGGTAGGAGTTGGGGAGGAGGTACATTCATGCATTGTTGATGAGAATGCAAATTGTTTCAACCTTTGTGGAGGGTAATGGGTGATAGCTACCAAAATTACAAAAGCTTATATTTAGATATAGTTCTCCTACCTATAAACTAGACATAGTTGCACATGCTAAAATAGATGAAAAAGATGTTTGAGAACATTGCTTTTGTTTATAAACGTTGTCCGGTAACAAGAAATTAAATAAAATATAAATACACATAGTGGAATACTATATAGCTGTCAAAAGAATAGGGCAGCTGTGTGTGTACTGATGTGGAATGAGCCATAGGCATGTTAGGCAAAAAAAGAAAGGGGCAAAACAGGGGTGCAGTGTGCTGCCATTGGCATAGTTATAAATACAGGGTGGCCATAAAATTTGTGTGCAATTTAAATAGTTGTAACTATTTAACAATTCTGTAACAACTATTTAAATTGCACATGAACTTTATAGCCACCCTGAACCATTTGAAACCAGCCTGAGCAAAAGCAAGACCATTATATGAACTATTTCATATAATGGCCTATGCATATATGAATATATATGTATGTATTATCTGTTCATATACAGGGTGGCTATAAAGTTCATTTGCATGTTCATGTGGCTAAAAAGTTCATTATATGAACTATTTCATATAATGGCCTTATATAAGCTAAATGTGTTCCTTGGCACCTTGTCAAGGCCCCTCTTACTCATCTTTCCCCTCTCTCCACTCTACTAGATCAGCCACCTGCTGCTCCTAGAGTACCAGGCACCCATGTGTCTGAGGGCTTTGCATTCACTGGGGGGCAATTTCTCTTTCCAGATGTCCATAGGGGAAACTTTTTCTTTTCTTTCCTTCTTTTTTTTTTGAGACAGAGCCTCAAGCTATCACCCTGGGTAGAGTGCCATGGCTTCACTGCTCACAGCAATCTCCAACTCCTGGGCTCAAGCGAGTCTCCTGCCTCTGCCTCCCAAATAGCTGGGACCACAGGCGCCCGCCACAACGCCCGGCCATTTTTTGGTTGCAGCCATCATTGTTGTTTGGCAGGTCCGGGCTGGATTCGAACCTGCCACCTCAGGTGTATGTGGCTGGCGTCTTAGCTGCTTGAGCCACAGGCGCCGAGACCCCCCTTTTTTTTTTTTTTTGAGAAAAAAGTCTCACTGGCTGGACACGGTGGCTCATACCTGTAATCCTAGCACTCTGGGAGGCCAAGGCAGGTGGATTGCCTGAGCTCATAAGTTCAAGACCAGCTTGAGCTAGAGTGAGACCCCATTTCTAAAAATAGCTGGGCACTGTGGCAGATGCCTGTAGTCCCAGCTACTTGGGAGGCTGAGGCAAGGGAATTGCTTAAACCCAAAAGTTTGAGGTTGCTGTGAGCTGTGACACCACAGCACTCTACCAACGGCAACAAAGTGAAACTCTGTCTCAAAATATAAAATAAAATAGTCTCACACTGTGCCCTGGGTAGAGTGCCATGGTGTCATAGCTTAGAGCAACCTCAAACTCTTGGGCTCAAACACCCCTTGCCTTAGCCTCCCCAGTAGCTGGGACGACAGGTGCCTGCCACAATGTCTGGCTAGTTTTGTTTTTATTTTTAGTAGAGACACGGGGGTCTTGCTTTTGCTCAGGCTGGTCTTGAACTCCTGAGCATGAGTGATTCATGTCTCAGCCCCCAAGAGTGCTATGCTGACTCTAATTAAAATGGATGCAGTGGATCTCGCCTTTAATCCTGGCACTCTGGGAGGCTGAGGCAGGATGATTACCAGAGTTCAGGAGCTCAAGACCAGCCTAAACTAGAGCGAGACCCTGTATTTAGAAAAAACAGAAAAATTAGCCAGGTGTGGTAGCACTTGCCACCACAGTCACAGCTACTCGGGAAACTGAAGCAAGAGTATTCCTTGAGCCTAGGTGTTCCAGGTTGTGGTAAGCTATGATGATGCCACTGCACTCTACTTGGAGTGACAGAGGTAGACTGTCTCAACAACCCTCCCAAATGAAATCCTTTACCCTGTCTTTTCCTTTACCCTATGTTATTTTTTCTTTTTCCACAGTAATCACCTTCTAACATTCTTCTTATTCAATGTTTGTGGCTTCTTGTCTATTTCCCCACAATAGAATGTAAACTCTACAAAGGGCAAGGATCTTTGTTTTGTTCATTGATGGAGACTGAACACCTAGTGCCTAGTAGGTGCTCAATAAATATTTGCTAAATAAAAGAATGGAGAAATATACAAACTGCTAACAGTTATTATCCCCAGGGAAGAGAACTGAAATATTGGAGATAGGTATGAGAAGGACACTTACTTTTCAGCACACACCTTTCTACCTTGTTAACTGGTAAAATTTTAATTAATTTTAGCCCTACCAGTAGTGTGCTAGAACCAGAAGAAAAAACTTGGACCAACCCCCTTCACCTGATATATGATGATCCAGGTACAGAGATGTTTGGTAACTGGCTCGAGTTTAGACAGCCAAGATTTAAACCCACATCTACTAGCTCTGGAGCCCTAGCTCTTCACCATTGCACCATAGGCCTCTGATTTGGGGCTTTGATCTGCCAATTTAATGTAATGTGACAGGAATGCTAAACTGAGTTTGTTTCCAAGAATGTGGTTTGCCTCAGTCTGACCTTCCCAGTACAATGTACTCCAAGGTCACAATTCTTTTGATATACAAGCTTTTGGCTGCATTATGAAAATCTTAACATAAATGGGAACACTGGGCTTGGAGATTCTTTTACAAGAACTTTCACTCTTAAAACAAAGTTGTAATCTCAGTCCCTTCATAGCTGGAAATAAAATTCTAAACCTTATAGATAAAGACACCTGTATTTCTTCTTCCAAAGTGTCAAGGGGTCTGGATGAGATACAGGGTATTTGGGAGTGAGGGAAAAAAGTGAGGGCACTTGGGCTGGTCAAAAGGTAATGGGAGTATTCCCGGGAGTTATTAACGATGGGCTGCTGGGATTCCTGAGCAGGGTTGAATGGTGGGAAGCCTTCCGGGGCCGGACCAGGTGGCAAGCCCGCCGCTGTTGCTGTAGCCAGTAGAGCATCTCCACTTTGTCGTGCTTCATTTTATCCAGGTAGCGCCGCCCTTTGAAGATCACCGGCTCACCAAAAATCAACTCAATATCCTCAAGGAGGGAAACCAAAGAAGATTCCACTACATTGAGCTTCTTGTGGAGATGGTTTCGGATGTAATTCTCCTCCAGGGGGTGACCCAGGCCTGAATGAGTCTTTTGGAAGAAACGGTTGGGGTTGGAGGCTTGCCGTTCAAACCACTCCAGTCTCCCCAGCAACATCTCCCGCAGCTGAATGGGCTTCAGGACCTGCTCCCAGGAACTCACCAAGACAGGTAATTGTCTCAGACGGGCATTGGAGCTATACTTGATGGCCATATCTAGCCGGTCCTGGTCAGGGATCTCAAGCATGGACCACAGTCGTTCCAGACGCTTCTGTAAGGCCAGGACTTTGTGGGGTTCTCCCAGGAGATGGGTCTTCCCAGCTCCTAGCCTGTGCTCCAACACTGTGTTCCAGTCCCACTCTCCTGGCACAAATTCTGGCTCTTCATATTCTAGCAAGGGCGGAGGGTGCTGAATCTCTAAGAATTCTTTGGCAGGGGGCTCTATCACCACAGGAACTTCTTCTTCATACATATGGAAGATGACATGGAGGAAATCTGTCTCATGGTTGTTGAGGTACTTTAAGTAGTCATCCATAGATAAGGTGGTATTCCACCAGTTCATCCACGAGGCCTTGTTTGACCGCTTCTCCCAGACTTTGCTGGTTCGGGGTGATGTGAAGGAGGGAGCCCTCTCAGCATTGGCCTGTGAAGTATCCACCCTCTGGGTATAAAGTCCAGCCAACTCATGGTTGATGACTCGAGAGTGTTTTTCACCACTTAGAAAGGTTGAGGACAGGAAGGTTGACCAGTCTTTATCTGCTGCTTTCTCAATCAGGGGCCCCTGGTCAAAACAGAAGTGGTCTGTAGAGACACGGCATATCAACTCCTTGTAGACTTCCCGGACACTATTGCCAACAAAGCTATCAATATCCATTTCTTCCACGACCTTGGCATCCAGTTCATCAGCCAGGTGGTTGTACAAGAGTCCAGCTGGCTCAACGTGGAAAGAGTCCAAGAAGCTTCTATCAGAGAACTGCACAGCAGCTGCCTGCACCACAACCTCATTTCTTAGCTTCAAAGTAATGGTCACTGGCTGCGGTGGAAGTGGAGGGGATTTGGGATGTTGGAGGTCCCACTTTCCACAGGCTTCTTCCTCCTGGAGATTCTTCAACATCCTTTGCAGTTCCTGCACACGATGCCCTGCAGCTGGGCGGTAGGTCACAACTCCCAGGAGAGGGGGAAGACCTGAGTCCAGTGGTGAGTATCGAGTCCACTCTAATTTCATGACTTTCATCAACTTCTTCAGATCCTCAGCCACAATGTCCCCAGCCAGCTCTGGTTTGCTCTCTGCAGCTAAGACCAGCGGGGTTAAGGGACGAGGCGGGAGTGGAGGAAGACCCAACTCATCTGCCAGCTTCCAGCCCTCACGCAGAGAGGGCATGGACCGGCCTCTCCGGAGCTGGAAGTTGAGAGGTGTGGTGGGGAAAAGGGAAGCCTCGCTGGTGGGAGTCACAGAGGAGATAGGAGGTGACTCAATCTGTGATAAACTAATGTTAGTTTCTCTCCTTTTTCCTATGGAGGGCAGCCAGCGGAGAGGCTTTCTCTTCTTCAGCCGGGGGATGGACTTCAACTCCTTCACTGGATCCAGTCCGGGCTCAGTGAAAAACCCTACTGGGCGGCTGAGTTGGACGAGGTAGTTCAGATTGAGGCTAGAGCATGGCACTTGGGCAAAGCCAGTACTGTGAGGCCAGGAGATTGGGCACAGCTTGAAAACCCCAGCGGGGCAGACAGGACGCAGCTTATCCATGGCACCCTGGGCCTGTTCTATCTTCTGCAAGGCCAGGAAATCAGCGAGCAGGCAACGGTAGACTTCAGGACTGGTAAGGAAAAGTGTGCAGTCCCTGGCGAGACTGGCGGTCAGCCGGGTTAGGGTGGCTGATTCAGTGAAGACCCTTTTGGAGGTCGACATGGTCACCAGCAGGTGCAGGTAGCGTAGGAAGAGCTGCTCACTGCTGATCAGAACGTAGGACTCGAGCCTCTTCCTCAGCTTCTGGTTGGTCTTGTTGCTTAGACTGAGTTCGGCAGGAGGCTCCCGCCAACTGCACTTTAGCTCCTCCAGGATGACCTCGATGAGACGGAGTCGGCTCTCGGTAGGCACCCGCGCCGTTAGCCCGCTGCTGGCCAGCAGCTTGGACACTTGGTGGCACAGCGACGCCGTTGTCAGCCTCGCCGGAAGGAGGGACTGCAGAACCCGGTCGCCCTGCGAGAGGCCCTTCTGAGCTTCTGAGGGCGTCGACCTGATGGTGAAGAGTGACAGCGGACGTAGCAACCGATGGTAAAACCGCTGGAGTTCAGACTCAGGCCTCTCACGCTGCATCTTGGAGCTGGCAGCCGCAGCAGTCGCCGCAGATGAAGCCAAGTGGTTACTAAGGCTACCAAGCTCCCGACGTCCCGAGTGCGCCTGCGCGAGCCAGGCCCACTCCCGCCCCCCGCGGTGGACGTTGAGCCGCAGGCCTCGGGTGCGCACGCACTAGGAGGTGGGGCAAAGGTGGCCTCTGCGGCCCCGCCTTCCACGACGCAGCTTTGGGTGGGAACTTCTGGGCCAGAGCTGGCGAACTCCTTTGAACCGCGTCTGGGTCCGCCATGGCTTCGGACTCAGCGGATCGCGGGACTCTCTGCACGGTGAGGGGCGAGGCTTCGGGTGGTGCCTCGTCAGGCAGAGAACCTCGGCCACTGGGGAGACTGTCTTCTCGGGGAGAGGGAAAGGACTGGGCACCTGGGGCGGGGCCTGGGACTACGGGGTGAAACTAGGGTGCCAAGGTAGCGGGACCCCTGGCGTGAGTGCTGGGGGGTGATCCTGGAATGATCATGAGTGATAAGAAGGAGCTCGTAGAGGGGTCACGTGGGGTGTGTCCCCAGGCGTTTGGGGTGGTCATAGGGAAATTGGTGAAACAGGGTCCCTCCAAACCGGTACCCAGCCCTCATGGGCCTGTCCTTGCCGGTCTTGCAGCTGGAGTTCGCGGTGCAGATGACCTGTCAGAGCTGTGTGGACATGGTGCGCAAGTCTCTGCAAGGGGTGGCAGGTAAGAGCTGTGTAAATTTTTCTGCAGACAACCCGGAGGACCCTAGGAGGAACCAAAGTTTTTTTGTTTGTTTTGTTTGTGTGACATAGGGTCTCAGTCTGTAGCCCCGGGTAGAGTGCCTTGGAGTCATCATAGCTCATAGCAACCTCGATCTCTTGGACTCAAGAGATCATCCTCTTGCCTCAGCCTCCCAAGCAGCTAGGACTACAGGTGCCCTCTGTCATTCCCAGCTAGTTTTTCTGTTTTAGTAGAAATTTGGACTCTCTCTTGTTCAGGCTGGTCTCAAACTCTTGAGCTCAAGGGATCCACCTGCCTTGGCCTCCCAGGGTGCTAGGATTACAGGCATGAGCCACAGCACCTGGCCCAGACAAATAGCTTAAGTAAGCCAACCTGATTCCCATTTTATGGACATGGAAACCCAGAAAGTGGAAGGAATGTTCTGAATCACACGCAGACCCACAGGAAGAGGCTAGAGTACAGTTCTGGAGCTTGCCTCTGCTGGCCCTACCTACCTCTCCTGCTGTCCTGAGCCTCAGGTGTCCTGGAGAGTGAGGAGTTAAGCTTGAGTGTAGCCCCTCCTACAGAGTGAATGCCCTGGAAAACAGGCAGATCTTGTTTGGGAAACTGCATGATCTTGACAAAGCAAACAACAGCCTTGACCCTGTGCCATCCTGGGTAGCTTCTGGCTCTTAAAAGGCCAGCTGGTCCAGAGATGATCTGGCACAATCAGAAAGAGCTGGGAAAGCATAGTGCTGGGAACTGGCTCCCTTTGATTCTGTTAAATGTTCATCCAGTCATCTGGCAGGTATGGACCAGACCCTGGGGGCTTTCTTGGGAGAAGAGTTCACAGGGGTATCAGGCACAGTCCCTGCACTCAGATAAAAATGGGCATGCAGGCTCTGCGCCTGTGGCTCAAGTGGCTAAGGCGCCAGCCACGTACACCTAAGGTGGCGGGTTCGAATCCCCAGCCCGGGCCCGCCAAACAACAATAATGGCTGCAACCAAAAAATAGCCGGGCGTTGTGGTGGGCGCCTGTGGTCCCAGCTACTTGGGAGGCTGAGGCAGGAGACTCGCTTGAGCCCAGGAGTTGGAGATTGCTGTGAGCAGTGAAGCCATGGCACTCTACCCAGGGGGACAGCTTGAGGCTCTGTCTCAAAAAAAAAAAAATGGGCATGCAAATGTTGCCTGGGTAACATTCAGAACACTTCATAGAATAGCAGTCTGAGAGGGAAAGAGATGAGATGGGTTCTGAAACTGGACTCTGTAGGCTGGCAATGTGTACAGTGATTAGAGTATGAGCTCTCAGGTCAGACTTGTTTGGATCCAAATCCCCTTTTTGCCACTCAATGGCACTGACTTCATGCATGTGACTTTTTGTGCCTCTGTTTTCTTCTGTGTTTAAATGGAGATGATAATAGAAACTACCTGGGAGGATTATCATGAAGAGTAAATTAGTTAATACAGGTAAAGCATCTTAGCCAAGTCTTTAGGCCAGGCGCAGTGGCTCACACATGTTATCCTAGCACTCTGTGAGGCTGAGGTGGGTGAATTGCTTGAACTCACAAGTTTGAGCAAAAGTGAGACCCTGTCTCTACTAAAAATAGAAAAACTGAGGCAAGAGATCGCTTGAGTCCAAGAGTTGGAGGTTGCTGTGAGCTATGATGCCATAACACTCTACTCAGAGTGACAGCTTGAGACTCTGTCTCAAAAACATAAAAAGAGGGTGGTGCCTGTAGCTTAAGCGGCTAGGCACCAGCCACATACACCAAAGCTGGCATGTTTAAATCTGGCCTGGGCCTGCCAAACAATGACAACTACAACCAAAAAATAATTGGGCGTTGTGGTGGGTGCCTGTAGTCCCAGCTGCTCGGGAGGCTGAGGCAAGAGAATCGCTTAAGCCCAGGAGTTGAGGTTGCTGTGAGCTATGACTCCATGGCACTCTACCCAGGGTGATAGCTTCAGGCTCTGTCTCAAAAACTAAATAAATAAATAAAAAGAAAGAAAAGTCTTTGGCATGTAATAAGAGCCCAGTAATTCTTAGGGAATTATGAGAGGAAGGGCTTACAGGTGTTGATCTGGATGGACGGAGGCTTGAGGGGACAGATCTTTTTTGTTGTTGTTGCTTTTTGGGTTTTTTTGTTTGTTTGTTTTTGAGACAGAGTCTCACTGTCACCCTGGGTAGAGTGCTGTGGCATCACAGCTCAGAGCAACCTCAAACTCTTGGGCTTAAGCAATTCTCTTGCCTCAGCCTCCCAAGTAGCTGAGACTACAGACACCTGCCATAATGCCTGGCTATTTTTTCTGTTGCTGTTGTCATTGTTGCTTAGCTGGCCCAGGTTGGGTTCGAACCCGCCAGCCTAGGTGTATGTGGCTGGCACTATAACCACTGTGCTATGGGGTGCCGGACCGAGGGGACAGATCTTGAAGCTCAGCTTGCTCAGACTGTGTATTTTGGGGATAAGGTTCTGATGGAGACCAAGCCATTCCACTGAGTATTCTGGCCAAAGCTTTTCCAGGATATAGGACTGTCTACTTCCTAGAAAACATTCTTGCTGGAAGAACACACAGTTGGACTTTCTGTTGGACTCAGGAAAGTTTATAGCCCTTACCAGGGCTCTTGGACACCAGAAAAAGACTTCTAGTGACTCTGTTTTCTGCTCTGGGTAGCTAGAACCAGGTTTCTCATGGGCTGGGTGGGGAAGTTGTAGTTTCCCCGGAATGCGAGAGTTGCCCTCTCTAGGAGGCCTAAGGCCTTGGGAAAGCCAGTTTTGCTCTCCTTGCAGGGGGAAGTGGGAGGATCTTCCAGTTCAGGTTTCACCCCCTTGAATCCTTCCTTATCAGGTGTTCCCTGAGGCCTTCTCTTTTCTCCCTTACTGGGCTCTGAGCTAACCATGGGCTGGCCTGGCCACACTCTGAGGTTCACCAGCTAAACTTAATTAATTGCTGTTTAACTGGTGAACCAGGCTTCTTGGGTCAGACTCTGTCAAGAATGTAGGCGATGGGGCAGTGCCTGTGGCTCAGTAGGTAGGGCACCGGCCCCATATACCGAGGGTGGCAGGTTTGAACCCAGCCCCTGCCAAACTGCAACAAAAAAAATAGCCAGGTATTGTGGCAGGCACCTATAGTCCCAGCTACTTGGGAGGCTGAGGCTAGAGAATTGCCTAAGCCCAGGAGTTGGAGGTCGCTGTAGCTGTGATACCATGGCACTCTACCAAGGGCAATAAAGTGAGACCCTGTCTCTAAAAAAAAAAAAAAAAAAAAGAATATAAGCTATGCATGGTGGCTCATGCCTGTAATCCTAGCACTCTGGCTGGATTGTCTGAGCTTACCTGGTCTCTACTAAAAATAGAAAAACCAGCCAGGTGTTGTGGTGGGTACTTGTAGTCCCAGCTACTGGGGAGGTTGAGGCAAAAAGATCACTTGAGTCCAAGGGTTTGAGGTTGCTATGAGCTATGATGCCATGGGACTCTCCCCAGAGTGAGACTGTGCCAACAACAACAACAAAGAAAAGCAGGAGGTACATAATTACAAGGAGTTTCCCACTTGGGACCCTCTCACTTCAAGAGAGGATAATCAGCTCTCCTTGGGAAGCCTCAGAATCTAGGAACTCACCTATGCTGAGGTCAGTACCTCAGGAAGTCCCATCTACTGTGTGTCCAGAACATATTCAGGCCTCCACACTAATCCAAGCCACTTCTCTCTGACCCATACAAGAACCTCATCTGTCAGTTTCCTGTGGCCTCTTTTGTGCTTGCCCCCCAATAGCTTTTCCATGCCAGAGTGGTTTTTAAAATAGTAGTAGTGTGGGTAGTGTGGTGTGGAAGTTACACGAGACTCTCCGTGAGCATGTGTGAGGGTCATCCTGTAGGCTTGTGCACACAGGGCTGCCTTCAGGGCTTTCAAGAGCAATGAGGACTCCACAGGCACTTTTTTGACACACTGACTTTTGAAGGTGATCCTTGTTGACCACATGGAACTCCTGCCTTCACAGAGCTGGCTGCCTAGGGGGTAACATGGAGGAGTTCCTTGAGAAGTGGGAGCTACTACAGGATGACAAGGGGTATGGTCCTTACCAGCATGGGGGCTAGGGCCATTGTGCTAGGGTGAGCAGAACGTCTGGGTTAAGTGCTTGGGCTCAGGATCTAGGCTGCCTGGAGTGAATTCTGGTTCTACAACTTACTGCAACATGACTTTGAGCATGTTCTTTAATCACTCTGTGCATCAGTTTTTTGTTTTTTTTTTTTTTTTTTTTTGAGACGGAGCCTCAAGCTATCCCCCTGGGTAGAGTGCCATGGCATCACGCTCACAGCAACCTCCAACTC